TTAATAACATCATTGGAACTAAAATAATATTTGCTAAAATCAAAGCATTCTGAATCTTTTGTTTTATTTTTTAGGAAGTCGGGAGGTAGCCGATTGTTTTTGCCTATTTCTTCACTATTAAAAAGGATTTTTAAATTCTGAAAGTTGATCTCGCCTTTTTATATCATTCCGCACCTATTGCGCACTTTCCCCGTTTATTTATGATAGTTTAAAAAAAAAGTGCGCACGGCAGCCCCAAGGGTGGGTTTCTCGCTGACCTGGATCTTAACAATAACACCTAATACTAGGGGAAGTAATGAGTATAATATAATTTATAATTATCCCTAAGCAGATTGAAAGACAAATATCACCACTTATCACATGCACTTCCTAATACTAGAAAATATATAAACATTTCTTTAAATTGTTTCATCAAATTTTTAGCAAAAAAAGATTTGGAAAAAAATTAATTTTGATCGTTAAATATTTGGAAATTTTGTCATTTTCCTAGTTATTGAATTGTCAGTTGTAGTAGACAAAAGGGCAACAAGACTATTAAACTATCGATCAAATAGTTAAGGTAGAACAAAAGGTTTGTTTGTTTTTCAGCACAAAGCGACACAATAGGCTATTTGTATTCTGCTCACTCAGGTATCGAAACCTGATTTATATAATTATTTCCAAACTTACCGCTGAGTCTCTGTGAGGCAAAATAAATGGAAACAGCAAATATTTTATCCAAACCTGGCCTGGATATGTAATTATTTATAACACTTACATTGAAAAAAGGTAAAGTCTATTGTTAAACAATCTTGCAAAGCTGATGTTATCAACTGCACTTTTCATGAAGAAATACAGGCAGCAGCAAAAATATTATAGTTTCAAAGTTTATTAAGTAAAGAAAAGCAGACAGCAGCAAAAAATATTATAGTTTCAAAATTTATTAAGTAAAGAAAAACAGGCAGCAGCAAAAATATTATAGTTTCAAAGTTTATTAAGTAAAGAAAAACAGGCAGCAGTAAAAATATTATAGTTTTAAAGTTTATTAAGTAAAGAAAAACAGGCAGCAGCAAAAATATTATAATTTCAAAGTTTGTTAAGTAAACACCCATTATTTATAGAAGTGTCATTTATTCATGAACTTGACTTGAAGCCACTTTATATTTATCGACAGGCTTTAATTCTAACTTTCACTTATTAATGACGTCTTACAGCTTTGATATAACATCATGGTTTATTAAAAGTTGCTTATTTTAGCCTTGTTTCTATCAAAAGCTACTCGCCCAGCTTTGACGATGTTCAGCATCTTTTGATAAAATGTTTTTGGTTTCAGCTTTGCCACTGTTAATTGCTTTAGGAATGATAATACAAGAGTTAATAAACAATTTACCTGTTAGAAGTTTGTAATTCAACATTCTTTAGCATCAAATAATTTATTGGATAAAATCAACAAATTTACTAATTAAAGAGGTACTGATATTGTGATTTCAAGTCTGAAGTCTGCGAGAAATGTCTTTTTCTTAGAAGAATGCTTGTCTGTTTTGAATTTCGCGCAAAGCTACACGAGGGTTATCTGCGCTAGCAGTTCTTAATTTAGCAGTGTAAGACTAGAGGAAAGGTAGCTAGTCATCACCAACTCTTGAGCTACTCTTTTACCAACGAATAGTGGGATTGACCGTCACATTATAAGGCCACGTGATTCGAACCCGCGACCCCCAGATTGCGAGTCGAGCACCGTAACCACTTGGCCATAAGAAGAATACAATATTTTTAACGGGATCCTTTTCATAAATTATTGCAAGTGATAAAATAAAGAACTCAAAAATAATTTTCAGAGGTGAGAGAGCTTGTTTTCTGTTGAATATTTATGAAAATGTTTTTCATTACAACGTATCTTTCCTTATCAGTGTTGTGAATTAACAGGTGTAAATTGCGTTATTTTAGAAATACGCAAATAAAGAAAAAAAATAGTACAAATAAATATATTTGATTCGCACAAAATACATAGATAAATTGTAATAAGATATATGAGAAAAACTAAATGTTGTGCATTATGAGAATCCATAATTTATTTTTGGTAGTAATATATTGTAAATAGCTTAAAGTAAAAGAGTATTCAAATGTTTGATTTATATTTTGCTTTTGGAGTATTACATTCAATCAATTGTGGTGAAGGAAATAATAAAATATCTTGCATAAATATTAGTACTTCTTTCTACGAACTCTTGCAGTACGGTATGTGATAAGAGAAGTACATTAGAAATATCATTAACATTAATTAAGTCACCCATTCCAATGAAGCATTATCAACGCTTTTGTGGAATTCATTAAACTCGATAAATAGTCCTAACGTTTCAACAGCGAAACACTGCCCAGCTGATATACACAATGAACTTATGGCAAACTAATGCCACTTATAAACTGAAAGTAATTGTGTGTGTTATTTTCTCTATAGAACTCATCAGCAAGGAATTGAGTTGATAATTGATAAGCTGACCAAATATGCAGGTTTTAATTTCAGTAAAGGTTATTTATTTTAACTTACTTTAATGGCATTTGAAGGCGCTCATTGGTTTTAAAACCATGTTGTAGGTACAGACAGGAAATACATAACTTTAATTGAAGAGGATGTTTAACTTGTTAGATATTCCAGTTTTCTGGTTCGATTCAACAAACTCTTGCTCCCAGGCGTTTTAATAACACTAATGTGCTGATTTCAAACATAGGAGTATAAACATAAAAATACAAAATTGCGTGACATACAAAAACATGGATAAAGTGTGTGTTGTTTGTAAGTTCTTCTGCGATACATATTTTAAAAACTTTCTTGAAATGTTGTCGAAACTTTTTTCAGAGTACTCATATAAATTTTCAGTCTTAAAAGAAGGTTAAAATAAAAATATCACGGTCAACATATCATCTATATCTTCCGACCAAAGAAAGCTAGCTATATAGATCAGAACTAAATATGGAACCAGTGAATTATATAGCTAATTCAATATATATTGTTCAAACTAGAAGTATGCAACGACGTAAAACAAAACAAAAATGATAATGTTTAGAATACACTGATTCATTTTTCAAGCTTTTATTTTAGACTTCCGAAGCGAAGAATTATAAATAGAATTAGTATGAAGTATGACACATTTTGTTTAAATTAAGTTTGATTGCGTTTGGGTTTCTATAAAGATTATTATAGATAAAAAAACAAAATTACGTATAAGGACAACTCACGCTTTTCTTTTACCTTGAACAGCAAGAATTTGATACAAAACGTCTCTGAAAGACTCTGTTTTGTTCAAAATCAGAAACGAAAGATCATGTAGATAGATCTCTTAAAGTGCTTAAAACTATTAACTAAATTTGAACTCGCTAGACTAAGTTTTACCTTAGAGTGTTCATTTAATAATCAGGGGAAATCCCACAATTTTTCTATTTTGAATTATGTTTTTACTCTGATAGTCTCTACATGAATTATTTATCCCGCGGTTTTTACGTCCAGCTCACGGTTCGTTATCTCAGTAACCTTTAACTTGTTTGTTTTCCACCTTAATAAAGCCCACTTTGTCAGAAATATATTTTAACATTCTAAAATAGTCCAACTTGTCCTTTTTTCATCAAAACGATGCGAAAAAAGTGAATATTTCATACAGTCCTAACTCTTACGACCATCAATGAAACTCTCAGGTTCTATTGTCGTTGGTTTGATTTGTAAAACAGAGATACAGGTTTGAAAATAGTCAATAAAAAAGTTTCTACCTAATTACCCCAGTGGATAAGGGGTAATTTCGAAAAGTTATAACGCTAAAAATATGGTTTTGATACCCATGGTGGGCACAGTACAGATGGCCCATTGTATAGCTTTGTGCTTAACAACAAACAAACATATTCACTTAATTGGTGATGCGCAGAAAAATCTCTACTGGCTTCCTGACCTTCTATGTGCTGAAATTTCATTCCTCACTTATTCTCTCCCAACGCCCCTCAGAGGCACAGCGGTATGTCTGCGGACTTACAACGCTAGAATCCGGGTTTCGATACCCGTGGAGGGCAGAGCACAGATAGGCCATTATGCAGCTTTGTGCTTAACTACAAACAAATAAAGAAAGAAACTTCTCTCCCAAAGGCAAAACTAACCCTTCACTTCTTTGTTAAAATGAAAGCTGAAGGGGATAAATACAAACTTTTTCTAATAAGAACGAGAAACTGATGTCCTTCAATTAGATATAGCGATCTAATAATTGTGCCTTTGTTATAATTTCTTTACAGTAGTGAGAACTTATCATATTAAAAGCTTTGAACTAAAAAACAATCCATTAGGGACTTCTCGGAGCGTTTTTATAAACAAATGTTTTGGTCTATTAGAGGGGGGGGGGTCGAGAAAAAACCTAATTAAATGAATTAATTTGCCATAACACGTAGTCATTGAGCTTTGTCTTCTCCCAGAACCCTCACGTATATTAAACACGTAGTCGTTGAGCTTTTTCTTCTCCCAGAACCCTCACGTATATTAATCATGTAGTCATTGGGCTTTGTCTTCTCCCAGAACCCTCACGTATATTAATCATGTATTCATTGAGCTTTGTCTTCTCCCAGAACCCTCACGTATATTAATCATGTATTCATTGAGCTTTGTTTTCTCCCAGAACCCTCACGTATATTAATCACGTAGTCATTGAGCTTTGTCTTCTCCCAGAACCCTCACGTATATTAATCACGTAGTCATTGAGCTTTTTCTTCTCCCAGAACCCTCACGTATATTAATCATGTAGTCATTGGGCTTTGTCTTCTCCCAGAACCTTCACGTATATTAATCATGTAGTCATTGGGCTTTGTCTTCTCCCAGAACCCTCACGTATATTAATCATGTAGTCATTGGGCTTTGTCTTCTCCCAGAACCCTCACGTATATTAATCATGTAGTCATTGGGCTTTGTCTTCTCCCAGAACCCTCACGTATATTAATTAATGCGTTTGTTTAGTTTCCAGTTTTTTATTTCTTACATTGTCTCTGATTATTACCTTCTCCCAGTATCCTTGAGTCTTCAGGTTCATCACCTCCAGCTCTACATATCTGAGTGTGCCGTCGGGGTTGAACTCTAAATTTGGTCCTCCACTACTTGATGGAATGCTAACGTTTCTAAGGTATCTAAACATAGAAGTAATAAATAAGAACTTTTAGGCATTACTGAAGGTAGTACCTAAAGTGAAAATTTAATCTATACAATAACACATACAACACTGGCTTGTCTGGAAGATTAGTAATGGTTCGTGAAATCGACGATAAATTATAGTCAGTGGATTTTATGCTAACAAACTTGCAATAATCAAGTTCTCTGTCGCCAAGTATAAAATTCAGCATGATTAACTGCACCTTTGAGTATTTTTCATGTGCTTTTTCCGACTAAGATACTTTTCGAAAACTTGAAACTAATATAAAAAAACATAAACAGATTATCTGATTGTAGACAGTTAATATTTTATTCAAGATTATAGTTTTTGGTTTTACTCATCATAAGCTCACGTAAAATAGGGCACTTGAAAATATATAACTCCTAAGTTTGTGGATAAAAATAATGTTAGACTATTAGTTATAAATGGGGAATATTCCGAAAATAGTAATATTTTAGTTCCTAACGTTTGAATATCACGAAAACAGTTAGAGTGAATAAAAAAACTAAATACATGTGATGTATTGTTTTGAAGAATGAATTAATCAATACGTACAATAGGGAACTACAGGGAAACTTTAATAAAGCTTTGATTTCTGAAAGCTTAGAAGCCTTGAGAAAGAATATAATCAAGATAGGTAATCATAAAATTTAAAGAGTTTGTTTTGGTAACTATGCAAACATATCCTGAGAGGTCATTTTCAATACAAGTAACGCATTGTAAAGAATCTGGTACACACTACCGAAACACATTTAAAAGTGCTTGAATGAATGATAAAGCCTTAAAATGTATTCCAATACATGATATGGTCTTGCTCTCGTACTTCAATGCACGAAGATAATAAGCTAATTTGCTCTTTGACGTTTTATTTCCAAATAAATTTCTAGCATTTACAGGAATAAACTTAATTTATTTAAACAAGTATCATAGTTACTATTAGTAACGCCCTGAAGAATTAATTTCATATAGTTTGAAAATTCATCAATTCATTGCATTATTTCACCTGTACTTAAGAAAGTCAAACTCAGTTTTGTGAAAACGTTCAAACTTTCTATGTGTCTGTTTTATAGATTAATGCTTCTTTCGACTGTAAATTAAAGCATCTAGGAAAAAAGATTAATTACGTATAAATTCAGCCTTTCGAGACAGCTCCTTTCTAGTGGCACTAAAGCGTAAATTATGTTTTTTGTTCAAAAAAGACATTTTTCTTCTTTTCATATTATCAAAGAAATGATGAAATAAACGACGAAACAAACAAATTCCATTAATCTTCAGTCCTAGAAAAACACTCCTACTTACGTTTCTGAGAAGGACTAACGGATGTTACAAACAGTTCCGCCAACAAAGTAGCAACAAAAAAATAAAACGAAAACAAGAACAAAAAATAGCAATTCATGCTATTTTGATCCATTTTCTCCTGTCAGTTATAAGTAATAAAGTCATTTACATATTAGAAATTTCTTCAATATGATTGCGTAGTTTCTAACATACCTTATGTTTCATATTATAGATGTAAGATAGGTTAATTGCAGTTTTCAAGAATAAATTGGTAATGCTTATTGAATAAAGTGTCACCGTAGATGTAAACCGTGGTGTCATGGATGACATGTTTAGAACCTATGTAGTTGGATTACCGCGATTTTCTGACCATTCAAAGCACAATGCCACCATACGAGTATACTTATGGCTGAGAAGAATGGAGAAATTTGATGTAAGTAAACATCAAAATTAGAAAGAATATCAGTATATTCTGGAACTATACAAAGCAATAGCTAAATGCAAATATGGCTGATACTTTGTGCTACAGCCCTTTGCTTTATAGAGGGAAGCACCGCGTTTACACATTGTGTGAATGAGATCAGTGGGACAAAAGATCATTCTTGACGCAGAATAAGTTACATAGAATTCCTGGAAGTTGTCCTTCAGTGGTACAGCGGCACGTTTGTGGACTTACAACACTAGAAACCGGGTTTCGATATCCGTGGTGGGCGGAGAACAGATAGCCTATTGTGCAGCTTTGTGTAAACAGACAATAAACAAATAAATCCTGGAAGTGTGTTTACTGGGATGCTTTAGCAGGGATTGGTTGAGAATATCCAACAGACACTAAATGGGATTCATGTCCAGTGCTTAGCTATACCATGAAAACGTTGTGATGTCCTGACTCTTATTCCATCTTTCAATCTCAGGAAGTATCGCTATACTTACATTAGGTCTTTATACGTCACAGCCCTCTAGGAGAAAGGATATTTGCACAACGAAATTATCAAACGATTTTATAGATAAAGGACGAAACATATGAAACAAGATAGCCTGCAGTGCTTTACTTGGAAACGAAAACTAAACTTTGCTCAGCAGATCATTTAGAACAACAAAAAGCTCTGAAACCCCCACACGAAGACAATTCCAAGCAACGCCATCATCCGCAAAGTGATGCTTATGGTTATGAAATATAATCCAGTGACTCAGTTTCACTCCAATAAGACGTAGGTACATATGAAATATAATCCAGTGACTCAGTTTGACTCCAAGTAAGACGTAGGTACATATGAAATATAATCCAGTGACTCAGTTTGACTCCAAGTAAGACGTAGGTACATATGAAATATAATCCAGTGACTCAGTTTTACTCCAAGTAAGACGTAGGTACATATGAAATATAATCCAGTGACTCAGTTTCACTCCAAGTAAGACGTAGGTACATATGAAATATAATCCAGTGACTCAGTTTTACTCCAAGTAAACTGAGTCACTGGATTATATTTCATATGTACCTACGTCTTACTTGGAGTAAAACTGAGTCACTGGATTATATTTCATATGTACCTACGTCTTCACTCCAAGTAAGACGTAGGTATATATGAAATATAATCCAGTGACTCAGTTTCACTCCAAGTAAGACGTAATTCTAACCATACTCTAAAAAGAAGGAAATCTCTGATTCTGTAACGGAACAGTTTCCAGATCATGTTGCTTTCACTTAAAAAGGCCTTTATTCTGTTGATCTGGCTGGTCTGTTACAATCAGATAAAATGAACATGAGTAAATGTAACCAATTAGTGTTGATTAACCCATGCTTTGAAACAGATAATTCCTGTGTCTGATATTGTCAAAATCTGAAAACTTGCTGGAGGGAAACATTGTTGTAGAGGTAATATATGCTAGTCGCTGCAAGGTACATCCCGATTTCTTTATTGCACTGTGTCTTCAAGAGAACGTGGAGGAGAAGTATATGAAGTGCTCCAAAATATTAACAGCTTTGGTTTGATTGTCATTGCAATTAAGAAATTTAGAAGAATGGACAAGATTAATTACGTATAAATTGTTTTTCGAGATAGCTCTTTTCTAGCGGCATTAAACTTAGCTTTGTGGCTTTTGTTAAAAAAATGACATTTTTCATTCTTGACAAATTATCGAATTATTTGGAGGGGCTTACAGATATTTGATGCAAACCATGTTGTTATTGGCTTTGAACAATTTCAAGTTAGACCATATGTAGCGACTCCTGTTCTGTAAAAATCAGTGTTATCATTATTGACATATATTTACACACTCTGGAGCATCAGGTATTCTAGGTATGGTGATCTTCATAAGCATGTTGACTATACTGGTGAAACTCAAAGATTTGTCAATTGTTGGGAAATTGTTTTACTACTTTATCTCAGTGACCTATTCTTATAACAGATAGGAATTTGGAACATTTTTGTGTCACGCAAAGTTTATCTCATAAGGAGTCACGTTTGTTACAACAACTGTCTTCTTCTCGTCTTCATTTCATTTAAACACTTTCGCAGAAGTTGAAACGTCCCCCTCAATGTGGCCTTTCTAGATCTTATGATTTGACACAAGTCTCTCATCAAAAGCCTAAGCAAGCTGTAGTTTCTATCCAGACTCTAAAACTACACAATTCAATTCAGACTAGCCTTGACCTTGTTAGTCCTACTGCTTAATAAAACTAAGCAAGCTGTAGTTTCTATCCAGACTACTAAAACTACACAATTCAATTCAGATTAACCTTGACCTTGTTAGTCCTACTGCGTTATAAACTAAGCAAGCTGGTAGTTTCTATCCAGACTCTAAAACTACACAATTCAATTCAGATTAACCTTCGACCTTGTTAGTCCTACTGTCTTA